ACACACACACACACACACATACACACACACACACAAACACATACATACGAACTCACACACATACACACTCACACACACACTCCCATGTTCATGCCATTTAACCCCTTTGAAAAACCCATTCTCCATACTTTGGGCACCCAACAATGACATGAGAAATCCTAAATGGCATCAGTAGCCTAGTGGTAAGTGGTCGTAGTTAGGCTACCGAACTTGTAAGCGTGAGATTGTGGGTTCGGGGGTTCGAGCTGCCGCTCGGTCCGACGTTGTGTTCCTCGGAAAGGCACTTTACACGAATGTCCCACTTGGCTCGGTCCTTTCGGAGAAGGGCGTTAAACTAGGAGGCCCACCTCTTTAAATAACCTAATAGTGTTGATAGGGTCGTTAAGCCCACATTATTTCATCTTAAAAAAAGAAGAAAATCCTGCCACGTACCGCCGAGTTGTCACACGCCACGTCACAGATGCCAGTACAGGGTGTGCCGTCTTGTCCTTTCACGGTGCTCAATGTCAGGCAAACAGCCACCACACACGTCCACAGGAGCACTGCAAGTAGGACATATTAAGATCATAACCTGTTCGTCAACTTGCTACCTACAAACCGCTTACAAATACCCCAACATACCTGCCACTATACTGTCGTGATGTCGTCCCACTTAGCTCCTCTCGACACTGTCTTGGCCCGATAGAATAGGCTAACACTAACAATGTCACATTAGCAGAGACTGTGCCCACCATTTCGGAATTTCACAAAGACCGCCAACGTGGTTCTAGTAGGGAACGGGATAAAGGGTGCCTACGTCCCTCGTGACTCACTGGAGCAGAGGAAGATAGGACTAACGCTAACATTACATAGGACTAACGCTAACATTATTTAAACGCAATCAAACATCATCACTCATCACCATCATTATTTCTAAAATCATCATTGCTCTCAGATCAATGACTTACACCTATAATCCTGGAATCTCGATCTGTAACAGCTACTTGTCATACAAAGTGTGCACGTAATGCACTATTAGACACTATCATAGGCACTTTTATTGTACTAATCAAATGGCATCAATCTCATATAATAAATGGGCAAGGGATGAAAAAGGACATATTGTTACCTCAGAATTACACATTTTAACAAAGTTCTATCTGCTCAGTACCGAGTTTTGAGATTTTGACGTCAAAGATTTTGAGTTTCACATCACGTCAAGCTTTTTACCAATGCAATTCTTTGAAGAACTATCTGTTTATGCTGAATACTTGATGCAGCCTAGGCTCACTACCTCCAGCGGTCCCCGGGTACTTTGAGTTTACGATTCCTGCTCTAGATGGATTAGATCTACTGTTTATTCTTTTCTCAGAACATTCTTCATTGTGGCACATTTCTAGAATATTTTCCCTTGATGGGTTGGGTCGAAAAGAAGAGGGGAGATGGGGGTTCAGCTTCACTAAAATAATAGTGGCAAGTGACTTGAGTTCTGAAGCTGCAACGGACTGGAACACTTCAGAAAAGAACAAGAAGGCTGTTTGTTAAAAATAAAAACTTCAACTTAATCAAGACGTAGTTTGCTTAGGGGTGCCCGCGCTACATCTAATGTGTTAAGGAGTTTATTCGACTTGTTGTGATAAGAAACACACCAGGGGCACAAACTGGTGACGTCACACGCTCCTAACAACTAACAATTTAGATCCGGAGGTTTTGTAGCTTCTTTCACGAGAAGAATACTTTAAATACTTAGAGTTTTGCTTTTGAAATATTCTTTTACAAATTATTCTAGACAGGTGTCTTTTACTTTTTTTTGTATAGTTTATTGATTTAGAGAAATGTTCTTGTCATAATGTGACACATGTGGTGTCTTCTATTTATTTCACCATTGTCTTACACAGTGGGGGTTTGAAGAAAAGGACTAAGGTTTGAATATCACTAGATTTTTCCTCTAAAGTCTACAAGCCAAGCTACGTTCGCTTCATTGTGAGATGAGAGGTGAACACCCTAACCTCTAGGCCACGAGAGCCCCCCAAAAAGAAAAAGGTTTGGGCATCACTAGATTTCCCCTAAAGTCTACAAGCCAAGCTACGTACGCTTCATTGTGAGATGAGAAAGTTTCCGCAAGAGATAGAAGGTCCTTGTCCAGGCGTCCACAGATTCAGAAGATGAGAGTACCGACTGACCTCTGTCACGTGGTTTATATATACAACTGTAGTGACATCCCAGAACAGCCCATCAGACCACCAGATGTGTTGTTTGTCAGAAGTCTACTAAATTTTCCCCGCGCTGAAATTTGATAATGATATACGGGCAGGAGGTATCGAAAATGATAACAGAAACGTGAACAGGACTTCAGCAATCTAATACGGCGCGTCCAGCGATCTCACGTGATGGATACGTTTCCTGTTTGGAGTGTGGCTGAATTTTTATTTCTTTCTAGAGTGCAAACAGCGAAAAAAGGAACGTAATACTTGGTCATATTACAATAATGCTTCTCTTTTTTTTTTTTTTTTTCTTTTTTTTTTGTAGGGAGGTTCAGGAGTGGAGTTGGGGGACGGGGAAATGGGAGATTGGAGGAAGAGGGGAGGGGAAGGGGAGTTTCTGTTTAACAACTTCTCCATGTGTGTGTGTGTGTGTGTGTGTGTGTGTGTGTGTGTGTGTGTGTGTGTGTGTACGTGGTGAAACACCAAACCAATGTGCCAGGATCTGGACAATAAAGATGTATCTTATCTTATCTTATCTTATCTTATCTTATCTTATCTTATCTTACCTTATCTTATCTTATCTTATCTTATCTTATCTTATACCACACCGTCCGAAAGTTGTAATCAGAATGGCTTGTATGTTCACCAAATGCGCGTCGATTTGAATTTGGTTGTTTTTTTCGTAAAAGTTTTACGGCACTTGCAACACAATTAGGTCATATAAGTGCCGAAGAACAGAAGTGTTACAAGGGAGTAACACACACACAAAAAAGAACGAGGGGAGATAAAAAAACCGATAGATGTTTGATAGGAGAGAAGGAGCAAACCACACCAGAGCAACCGCCAACCACCCGCTAATTCGGTTTTGTTATTGTTTGGGCGCGGGGGGGGGGGTTGTCGGTAGGTTTGTAGAGTAAAGGGCATACAACACAAAAGTGACACTTGTATTTGCTTTTTATATAACAAGATCACGTTACAATAATCCCCAAATTTGTGGCAATACGCCCGCACGCATATGTATGTATGTGTGTGCGGGCGTGATGCGTGCGAGTGTGCGTTAGTGCGTGCGTGCATGCATTCGTGCGTGTATTAATGTATGTAAGCATGCATATGTGTATGTACACCTAACTGTATTAAATCCAAACAGGTCAATAAATTCAAACAGCACCCGTCACTGTCCAGGTAATGCCCACCGCCCACCAAAAGTAAAAAATGGTCTACTATAGTGTGGTCAAAAACTTATCCTCAAACATCTTTTTAACGGTTGAATCAATGCCACTCCTAGTTTGCACATCAGTTTGTATCAATTTGTCTTAACTTTATCATATTTTTTCATAACAATTGAGGCTAGATTAAAAAAAAAAATTCTTTAATTTATAAAAAATACTACAACTCCTTCACGCGGCAAATAGAATTAAATTGTTCAAATCAATCCCCGCCTCTCCCACACATTTTGCTTACGCATAACATGGTCTACGTCACAGCTCACCTATGACCCATTTTAATGGCAAAACCTGCTTTAAAAAAATCAATTTTATAGTGAACACTTTTTTTAGCACTAAAAGTTTTCAAAACATGCGTTGAATAAAGAAAATCTCACGATTAGAAAAAAATGACAGACTTGCTTTTAAAAACAATATTGTCCTAGCTGTAAACCTTTTAAAATCAGTAGAAACCACCCACTAGGATTGTATGAGGGTGCGGTAGTGCGCTTGTCTCTTAAGCGGAAAGTCTGGGTTCGAGCCTCGGTTCGGAAACGGATTTTATTCGCCCCCTCCTGCCCACCCAGCAGTAATGGGTACCTGACTTCGAGTTGGGGAAGTAAAAGCGGCGTGGAAAGGAACTGGCCACCCTACCACAATATGCCGAAGGCCCGGGAAGTTGTCTCACTAACAGGGCAATCCCCAATGTCCGGATCGGATGCGGGAACAACTTTACTTTATAAAGAAATAGCGTGGAAAACCCAGAAAAATATCCAACCAGCTGATAACTTGAACGATCAGCAGGGAGACCCTGTCATGGATCCTGGAGAGGAGAGAAGAGCAGCTATGGCATTGTGTCGCCTGCAATGAAGCCTATTCTCAAACCCATTAAGTAAGTAAGCAAACACGTTTTTAGAATAGAAAAACAGGTGTTTACAAAAATATTGATTTGTTAAGACAAATTGATACAAGTCACTTATGTGGAAGCTGGAGAGTTCATTTTCGATAGTTGAGGATATTATATTACATCATTGACAATAAGTTGCGCCACGAATTTTTGACCACACTGTAATGGGCGAGATTGCTCAGTGTGGTACAAGCAAGTACTGCTTTAAAGATCCCATAACCCTCGGTTGTTGCCCCTGTGTGCTGGGCACAGTTAGAACAGTTCAAGTTTAGTTTTAGTAAGGTTTTACTGCACTCGCAACTGCATAAGGTCATATGAGCGCCAAGAGGTGGATGTCAACAGAGAAGTCCAAACGGGGAATCAGACTCACTCTGCTCACCTCTCTAGCCTCAACAGCACAAAGTCTGCTTCGACTATCAAGCCACCCCGGAAATGGCAGTTCACAAGAGTGTGACAAACATACAAAGAAGTAGAGGGAAAATGACGATAGTAAGGATGAGGAAAGAAAAAGCAGCACTTCACCGCGTCATTTCTCATTGTCATAATATGTCAAAAGACGAGGTAACAGGAGAAGAAAAAGCAAATTATGTATGTTAGTCCTATAAAATATAATATGTCTTGGAACAAGGCCAATAGACTGCACGTGAGATGGTCATTACGTTTATTTCAGTTACATAATAAGTTACATGTACAAGGAAAAAACAGCTTCTGTACTGTCATCAAAACAAGAGCAGTCGAAAAAATCATGTAACAACAACAACACTTTAGTAAGTTATAACTCAATTTCACACACACATACACGCACGCACACACACACACACACACACACACACACACACACACACACACACACATACACACACAAACACACATACACACACACAAACACATACACACATACACACACGTGCACACACATACACACACACACGTAAGTCATATACGCACACAAACACATACACAAAACCTGCTCTCTCCTCTCTCTCTCACTCTCTCTCTCTCTTTTTTTTTCTCTCTCTCTCTTTGTCTCTCTCTCTCTTTGTCTCTCTCTCTCTTTCTCTCTCTCTCTCTCTCTCTCTCTCTCTCTCTCTCTCTCTCTCTCTCTCTCACTCTCTGTATTTTTCTGTCTCTCTCCCTCTCTTACTCCCTTGTCGTATGTTCACTTCATAAGTCAGTTTTCTTCATCTTCCGCAGAAATGCGTACAACAAAAAGTATGCTTAACCCTATCCGTACGTCGTAATTTACTATCGTATCCATACAACGCGGGGAACTCTGTGCCACCACTTTCCGAAGAGAAATATTACTTGTTAATCCGATCCGTACGCTTTGCACAGCAGTTCGTCAAAATGAATTTTGAGTAATACTGAAAGTTTCAAAGAGATCTTCGCTTTAGAAGTATTCTAAAATGTGAAGAATACAACACTAGGGGTACTAAATGATAATATCATGGCGTACGGATAGGGTTAATCACCACACTGAAGGGAACAGAAACACACATAGATCTGATTTATGATTCTAGAACAATAAGATTTGAACTCAGAACATTTAAAGTTTGGAGCTAGACTGTCTGTAGTTTCCTTCCCCTGCCCCCCCCCCTACTTCATATACCTATTCTTTATGTCCATGAAACTGCAGCAAAGTAGTTTAGTGAGAGAGCGTGGTGAAATCAGGCACTCGTCAAAATAAAGAAAGTAAAGAAACTGACACTTTTCAGCTGGTTTGGCACTTTTTATCGAAATTTTATTTTTTGGCTCAACACTTTCACTGTCCCTTCTATATCCTTCTATGAACCCATTTCAATGTGAATTATATTTTAAAAACGTTGACTAAAGGCACAACAAATGTAAATTGTCAGTTTCCACGGACTCTGAGGCTTTGTAAATAACAAAATTTTGGCGGCCATTTTCTCACTAACTTTTACCTTTCAAACCAGGCGACCCCCACCTCATTCAATCGCAAATATCTTGACATGCGTTCAAGAGGAATGGGTAATTCTTTCACCGAAAGCAAGGCAAATGAACAAGCTTTAAGACGATACCAACAACTCCTCATGCCCAAACATTGACGAGCGCCTGATGCCACCACGCCGTGACACTGTTTGTTCTAAGCCAAATCATCTCAAATGTGAGCGTTACTGAGATAGAATCTTGTCGTTCCAGTAAGGCGTGTTTACAAACAACATAATTATCTAATTAATTCAAAACTCTTCTTTCCCTGAATATTGCTAATTGAGTCAATGGACACGGTAAAATATTTAAATTCTTTTTTTAAAAAGGCAACAAAAAAAAACATTTTAAAATCTCAGAGTCCCTGAAAAATTATAAGCGTGAGGTGGGGGGGGGGGCATATTCGATACCTTAGAGTATTATTTCATGGACAAGCTGATCAACGGTTCTAAGCCTAGAAAGCAAACATTTTTAAGAGAGAGAATTAAAATGTTTCATTCTTTAACAATATTTATACCTACGACCAGGAAACGTAGTTTTTGGGACACCTGAGTAGACATGACGGTCTTGAACATCCAGCTCTCACTGGCAAAATTGAAGGCAAACGAGGCACGGGTAGGCCCAGAGCAACCTACTTAGGCAACCTAAGCAGATGGGTAACGGGGAAAAAAATCAGGGAAACGTAGCTTTTTTAAGAGCATCCGAGCAATGGAATGAATGGAGAACCATGATCGCCGATGTCTGCCATAGATCTGGCTCTGGATGATGATGATACCTACATTGATGGGTGATTTTGTTTTCTTTCTTTGGGGTTAAATGTGTTTGTTTTGTTTTTTAATTTGAGGTTGTTGGGGTTTTTTTTGGTTGCTTTATTCTAGATTTATATATTTTTTAA